TGATAGTGGATATTTCAGTGGTCAGTCTTATATAATCAGCTTTCATTGTTTGGTTGATTTGGGATTTTTTTACATGAGAGAATTTTAGATAAGAGGGATCAAGGGGATTCCATAGACTGGCAGCAGGTACTGGAATAACCTCCAAGGGTTTTGGGATGTAATTGGATAGTTCCAGTGGTGAGGTGTCAGTGTGGGCCTGCTCTGCTCCAGCTATGCTTGGTGAGCAGGAAAAGGCTGGTTCAGAGCTTGGAAAACCAAATTTCTTGCGTTGAGGGCAGGTAAATGGGCTTTTGGTGTCTTTGTACTGCTCCTGCTTTGGGTTGAGTGAGCAGCACTCAACCATCACTGGCCCAAGGACCACAAGGTCCACAAAGCTCTGATTTGTACAAAATGACTCCTTTTTCTAGGCTAAGGAAGGTGCATCCAGTGAAATTTCCTGGCTCTGCCTCAGGAAGGTGGATTGTTACAGATTCCGTGGTGTTTGGGAATGATCTGTAAATGATGCAAAAATACAAAAAATAGAACATATACAAGAAATACAGCAGCTCCAGAGAGGGGAAAGGGGGAAGAATTCAGGAGGTGGTTTTGGGGATAATGAAACCAGCGTGACCATTTCAGAGGTGATTCCAGGCAGACTGGATGGATGTGAAAAGGTCACAGCAGGAAATAAAGGCACTCATCACAGTCCTCTTCTCAAGCTGTTCTTGCAGTGTCCTAAAACCTGGAGTCACTCAGAGTATGAGACAATTTGTGCATCCCAGATGCAATTTGCTGTATTCTTTCTGCTTTTCATGTATTTATTTCTAGTGAGCTGTCTTTTGTAGTTAAGCTTATCTGTTGTTTCCCTCCATTTCCAGGTTTTCTCTTAGAAATGATCCTGTTAAACCTTCCCTTTGCCAGGGCTGTAATTGGAAAAAAATCAAAACAAAGCCACTGAGGGGGGAAATCCCAAACCAAGCCCTGTGCTGTCATTCCTGCAGCTGGCACATCACTCCCAAAGGCTGTGCTTTCAGAGGCTCTGCTCTTGTAAACTCTTTTAAGCTTCCTTTTCTCCAGCGTGAAATAAGGAACTCCAGTTTGGAAGGTGGGGGGGCTGGAGGTTGTTCCTGCCTTGATTTGCTCTGTCTCCTTGGTCTGCTCTGAAGAGCTGAGCTGGGAGCAGAGCAAACAACCCAGGCAATAATTGCTTTGGCTCCCTGACTTGGATTTGCCATCTCTGCTGAGCAGGAGGATCAGTTTGGGTGACCTTGAGGACCAGTGCTGGCAGGGCTGCTCAGACAGCATTTGGGTGAGGATGCTCCCTGCTCTCCTCTTCCTTTGGGTGCAAACCTCCATCCAGACACACAACATGGGCTTATTTTCTGCTCAGAAATGAGCATGTGAGGCACAAAATTCCCTGAGTCATTGAAAAACGTGCAATGACATTTAAATTCCATCCATGACGACGTCTTCGAAGGAGTTTGTTGAGAGCTCTTTAAATTCCTGAACCACTGCTGACTAATAGAGGAATGTAAATTAGCTCTGAAACAGGTTCATTTAACTCTTGTCTAGTGTGTAGCATTTGGCCTGGCAGAGTCAAAATACTGTGACTTGTTTTTGTGTGGCAAATTGAGCACTTTGTTTATTAAAATTGCTGATTTGTTGTATAATGAGGAGGGCCCAGATTACTGTTCCTTCCACGGGAAGGATTTAAAGGGCAGGTCACTGCTGTTCTCCAGCAGCAAAGTAATTCTGATTATGCGCTCATCTTCTGTTCTGTATTTCACAGATCTTTGTTAGCCAGGTTTTAGGATGATTAACTTGCATTGTGCTTGCAGTCCTGTCAGCCTTAGTGATGTTCCACACATTTGGCTTCCTAAATTCTCCCTCTGAACACAGACAAATATGTCTGTAAAGTGAGATCGCTGATAATGTATCAGAATAAAACTGGAGCATAAAGCTGGGTTTGTGTTCTAAAGCTGCACCCTGCATCATGTAATATTCAATGTTTTTTTAACTCTGAGCTGGGACTCTTAATTGAAGCTGCAGCTCTGCACTTCCTTCATGCATGACTTAAGGCATCCAGCAATGTTTGCTGGGAGGTAATTTGCTTTTTTTTGTAGAAGCTTCCACACAGAGAGGTAGAACAGCCATCTTGCCAAGGATTTAGTAAATAACGATGCACATAACACAGAATTTTAATAATGTCCTTTGATACTGGGAAGGGGATCACAGTTTTTGTGTTTCTCCTCCTGCTCCAGTGGCTTTCCCTTTCCCTTCAAGCAGAGTTGAGTGCTGGCTGTTGTTGCTAATTGCAGATGATGGAGCACTGACATTTTCAAAAGCACACATAGATGATAGGCACCCAAAGGATGAGGCTGCTGCCTTCAGAGATGCTGCTACAGTTCTGCTGGCATCGACTCATTTAGTGATGAATTGCAGTAATAGCAGTTCAGGACCTACAGCATATTAGTGAAAATGAATCCACTGAGCACCAGTCCCGTGGCACTGCAACAGCACTTAAAGAACACTGATTTCCTTAAAGGCAGAAAAATCTGATTAAGAAATTTAGTTGGGGCTATGTTTTTTGCTTTTGGTGTTTTTTTTTTTTTCCTTCGTATCTTTTTCCCTTTCCCAGCAGCGTGCTGCTTGTATTTGTTTCTTGTAGTGTGTTATTGTAAGGAATTTAATGTACATCCGAAAAGCAGGTGAGTTCCATAAATACAAAACATCTCTTGCTGTTCTAGCAGATGGAGGATGCTACAATAAACAGCAGAACTGCTTTAATTTCTTCATCTAAACTGACCTAAAACCTGGTTATAGCAGGAAAAAGCTCAATATGCTGGCACTGAGGAGATATGTAATAGTTTACACAGGGTCTGTGGCAAAGATGGTGTAGGATGAATGCAGCAGTTGGCAAGAATTATTCTAATAAAAGGATGGGGCAGCCTATTATTGCAGGAGTTGTGTAATTTGAGGGAGCTGGGGATAAAGACAGGCTTTGTGTTAATGATGTGTTGGGTGTTTGCAGGAGAACAGAGTGTTCTCCCAGCTCTGGAGAGAGGCATCACTGCGGAAGGTCCCGAGCACAAAGCTGTGCAGTCTCCTTCCAAATCATCCAACAGCCACAAAATCAGATGGCTCTGGAATGCAGGGATATGAAAATGTACAAGTGTGCATCTCCCTTCTTTTTTCTGCATCCTGACACCCTCTGTTCCCAGCAGGGAAGGAGTAGGTCTGGGACACATGCAGGAGCAGCTGGAAGTGGCTCCAAGCGTAAAGCAGTGCTAATAAATGGGCTCTTCTCGGTCAGATGGAGTCTTGTAAACTCCAGTGCACGAGTCTAAGAGATGTAAAGATACTCTAAACTGGGATTTATGGATAATTTCACCATTTTAGGGCTAATACAGCTTTGTAAGGCTGACAGCTGCGGAGGAATTATCTGAAGACAATCCTGGACAGTTTGGCCAAGATCTGCTTTGTGCCAAGGGCAGAGATCCACTGCTAATGCTGGCTGCATTAACAGCTCTGCTCTGTCAGGGCAATAAAAATTCTGCGTTTGTTGCACCTGGGGCTGTACTGTCTTTGGGAAGGGATAAAATCTGGATATGTAATTGTGTGGAGGAAGCAGAATATTTATAGCAGGTGGAGGTGGTGTGGGTGTTTGTGCACTCAGGGTTCTCGACGAGCGGGTGATGAGTTATGATGACGATGAAATAGTTTTGTGTGTTTTGTTTTGAAAAGCAGCTTGGCACTTCTTGCCAAAGCTCCTGCAGTTTCTCTAACCGGAGAAAATCAGGGGAGTTCTTTTTTTGAATAATAATTTTTAAAAAAATGAATTATAGAGTTGTTTTGGTTGGAAAAGATCTTTAAGTTCATTGAAACCTGTGTGGCTTTCTGGTAGGCCAAGAAACGTCCCAGTGTGACTATCCAGGACTTGATAAGGTCCTTGATATTGATAATTGATAAGGATATAAATAATAATATAACCAGCTGTAAAATAAACTAACAACACAACAGCCATGTTGACAGCAGGATCCAACTAAGATGACTTTTTAATGCCAAACGTGTTGAGTTTAAGGATTGACATGATTCCTACATTCCTAAAGAAATTTAAATTAAAGATGTACCTTTCTGACTCAAGCAAAAGCTGCTGCTGCTTCAAGTAGAATGAGCTGCTGTTTTTTTAATTTTGAAGTCCTGATCTCTTCTGGCAAATTATGATTTAACTACAGAAGAATTTCAAAACACACAAACAGCACACATACATTTTGAGGTATGTTCACTGAATAAAGATGAGTGAACTAAGGCGATTCAGTCTGCAAAATATTTGTTAAGATGATAAAAGATGGGTTGAACCGTCCAGGTAAAGACTAAAGGTTGTACTGAGTTACAGTTTCAGTATTTTTAATGCCTTATGGGTTAATTTAAATAATGAAAGCCAGGGATGAACACAGTATAGTTTCTTTCTGCTTGGGTTTGTTGTGTTTGGGGTTGTGTGAAAATTATGAAGAAGACTTTGATATTCAAAGTTTTCATTTCATTTCCTTTTGATAAAAACACCATGAAAAATTCAGGTGAAAGGAAACCAGACGAGACTCATATGCCATTAAGGGAATTACATTAGGAGTTGTAATAATATCCCTTAATCTTAAAAAGGTAAGTCTCTTACAGAATTAAGGTTTGGCTGCTGCTTTTCATGCCGTGTGAGGAATTATGGCTAATGCAAGTTGCTGATGTGAAAACATCCTCTATAATCCTGTTTGGAGAGCAGCTCGTTCCGTGCTCCTTAGAAAAGGCACAAGAAGATGTATTATGGGCCCTTCGTTAAATAATTACTTAATTACACCCTGGGACTGGCAGATAGCAATCTGAATGCTGCTGGCGGGTTTCTCCTACAGCAGCAAAACTCCGGTGAGGAGCGCCACGTGCGCTGCAGTAGGAACGCGTTGGCATCAGCAAACTCAAGGTGGAAAAGACATTTCAATCAGCTCATACTCATGAAAAAAGCTTCTACTCACCCTTCCCTGTGAGCTTCTCCCTTCTCTAGCTCCTGTATAACACCCAACAACACTTTGATGGTCTCCTGACTAGAGCTGATCAGGTTCTCCATCATCTGAAGCTGCGCTTTCAAGTCCACAACTTCGGTGTGAGGCACGATTTGTTGGCATTCCTGGCTCACGGCCACGGCCGTCCGGCAGGGCTGGCTCTCCTCCATGGGCGCCACGTTGACCTGCAGGCTCTGGTCACTACATTCGGGGGCCGGGCACTGCGCCCGCGCCGCGCACGCTCGGGCATCTCCGGCCGGGGGCTGCACCCCGTTCAGCTGCACCGTCCTCTTGTCGTCCTCCTCGGGGCACGGCCCCCAGTCGCCCAGGCCGGGCAGGTCGGGCTGCGAGGCCGGCAGGTAAACGGTGGCCACTTCTGTCTTGAAGACCCTCCCGTGGAGGGGCTGGGCGGCCTCGTCGCTCCCCAGCCGCGCCGCCGCCGCTCTGCCCCGGCCGGGCGGCCGTGCCCGCTCCTCCTCGCCGGGCTCGGCCAAGTTGGGTGGAGGAGGAGGAGGAGGCTCTTTGGGAGAACTGTGCAAATCGCTGCTTTTCCAGGCCTCGGCGCCGTTGTCGTGCGCGGCGCGCTCGGAGATGTGGGAGATGAACTCGGCCGTCTGCAGGCTGCCGGCCTTCCTGCCCCACGCCGCGGCCTCGCCCGAGCCCCGGCCCTCCCTGTCCTTCACCTCGATCAGGAACCCGTTGTTCTCGCTCGGTAACGTGTCCACAGTCGCGGCGCTTTTCAGAATATTCCCTTTTTTCCGGTCCAGAGGGAAGGTCTGGTAGCACTTTTTGAGATCAGGGGAAGTCTGGACTCCTGTGCTCTTGGTGACGTTGGGGATGGACCTGCGGGCGGGCACCGTCATGTACTTGCGATAGGCCGTCTTGTAGGAGATGGCCTTGGCCTCCTTCTTGTCGGGGTCCTGCGAGGAGGAGGTGGAGAGCTGCTTGTCCCTCTGCTCGTTCTGGGCCTCGCAGATATCCTTAAACCTCACCTGGAGGGCTTTGTTCCGTTTCTTGATCTGCCGGTTGGGATCCAGCGCGTATTTCATCTCCAGCGCCAGGGAAGCCGCGGGCTCGACGTCGCTGTCCGAGGCGGTGAGTAAGCATTTGCTGGGCTCCTTACTCACCATGATGCCTGCAGCCAAAAACAGTGCAAAAAGCCTCAAGTTAAAACAGAAATGTTACATTTTCCTCTGAGGTTTTTGCAATATTTAAGCCACGTTCCTGTGAACCCACTGAAATGGATGTGACTTGCAACCGATGCGCTCAATTCCGTTGAGTCGCAGCCCTTGGTGATTTTCTAGAGATTTGGATTTTAATCATTTTTTATCTTAATCTGTTATGAACACCTGCTCCTCAGAGAGATTTCCCAATCCCAGAAGTTTTTCCACAACTGTTTTCCCAGGATAGGACAATGGCTGTCATGCCAAGGCTTCCCAGGAAGCAATTTCCTTCAGGAATGTGTGCTCCCGGGAAGCCAGTCCTCTGAATTTACCTGATAGTTAGTAAAAACTACAGGGAAATTGAAAACCAAGTGGACAAAAGTTGAGAGCTCTGCCCACCCTTAATTCTCCTTTAATGCAAATGTTTAGTAGCAAGAAGTGTCCAACTGACATGATTTTTAGAGTGTGCCTGCTTACCAAACACATTTCTGCTGTGTAATGTATTCAGCATTCTTTGCAAGGAATCAATTGATCATTAGAGGTGTCATTATTTGGATTTTTATAAAAAAAAATCCACGTGACTAAAACTGAGTACAGATTAATTATTATTAGCAACTGGTTGGTAATGCTGGGTGTGTAAAATTTATGAATTAGTGAAGTTTTGGAGGAAGTCAGCAGTGCATCAATTAAGCTTTTGCTTCAAATGCAAAACAACTCATCTTTTCCTAGAAGCAGTAATGTGCCTTTATGATACAGCTGCTTATCCCAAAAAATCCTGAAGCACTAAAAACCTCCAAACCTGAGATGAATCACAGAAATTGCTTAATCTGCCATTGAAATATAAGCTCCTCCTCAAGGAGGAGAAGATGCCAACTGCTTAACACAGCATATATCCAAAAAAACCCCCAAACCCCAGTGGTTGTACAGATCATAGGAGATCTGGAGTAGCTGCATAATTAAGATTTCATTTTTACACCTCATTTGAAGTTGTAATTTTTACTTTCCTGTTGTGCAAATTTCTCCCTGAGACTTGCTGAATTACCAAATTCCCACTTAATCCAAACATTCTGCATATATCTCCTGCTGAAACCCTCAGAGGGACTCGGGAGTACAATGTAAAACAAGTAAAGGGACTTTCAGGTGTTCTTGAAATATGTTTTTAATTAAAATTCCTTTGTCTATTTAATAAAATATGTGAAACTCTTGAAGAGTTAAGTGCCATAATAGCATCTGTTTTAGAAAGCTAACTCAGGGGCACGAGGGAATGAATCCTTGACTAGTCTATATTTAAAGTAAGAAAACTTAACGGGGAAATAATTTCCAATAGAAAACTGAATGTTTATGAGGTTTAAATGTAAAAGTAACACTTCCCTAAAGACACACACAGATGTGCATGGCACAGAGTCCAAGGTTGGATTTCTGGGTCAAAAATCTCATGAAAACGTGTCATTACTTAATGGTTTTTTTTGTGTTTTAATTCCCTGGCCCCGGTAATTTGTGAAGAAGGAACTGAACTATTCCAGAATCCCCCTAGTTTGCCTTTTTCAGTCTGACTTGTGATGCTCAGGGAGTGGTGAGGGAACAGCAGTCGCTGGAGAAGGGGAAGAAATTTTTCTGTGACTGATGTAGCGCAAAGTCTGTAGAAGAAGCAAAAAGAAGAGAAAATTCAGGACAAAACCACTCAAATAATGGAATCTGAGATTGCCAGATCCCAGTTTTCAACTGGGTATTTTATACATACAAGCCTAAGATCTGATACCAAGGTGACCAAGTCCCTGTTTTGGGGGAAAAGAGAGAAAAAAATGGTAATTCTAAGGGGGAGTCTGAAGATAAAAGCAGGGTAGGGAGTAAGATCAATTATCCCTGTGCCCTTAAAACATGAGGTTAAAATAGTGACAGATTTTGAGGGGAACAATTCAACTACATTTGAGTGTAAGGAATTTTTTGTTCCAGTTGAAATCCTAAAGAAGGAGTTGGTTGTTGGGGAACATCAGTGTCCTCTCCTGGCTGCTTTGGGTTGTATTTTAATTGTAATTGTGTTTGTGAGTGCCTTTATTTGAGAGACATTCTGCAAGCAGAGCAGGTAGGGCTGTCCATCTTTTTGTCTATCTAGGGCTGGAATTTGGGAAGTTGTAGTGAAAAAAGTGCTGGCTAAGATACAAACCTGGCCCTTCAGCTTGCAGCTAGACCACCTGAAAATCTATTGTAAAATCTGCAGTTGAACCCAAACTTCTGCACTTCACAACTGCTGGCAGCAAATTTTCCACAACAATCTGGTAAATGAATGAGTTGACCAAAAAAACCCTACATACAAGAGCACAACAGCCATTACAGCCATTAGTTCCAAATCTGCCAGTGGGAGTTTCTGAGCTCCCAAGAAATTGTGGCAAAAATTAAATGTTGCATTCACAGAGATGTGAAATATTCAGTGACTGTGTCTGAAAAAGCCACATTTTTTCCCCAAAAAGGCTACAAAAATTGGCTGTTAGCTCTGAAAGTCACTATCTCTTAGGATTCCTTGGAGTTGTCAAAGTAAGTTTTTGGGCACTTGGTTATTTGACAGCAGGATCCATTAACATGCAATTTATTTTCAAGTATTGGCTTGATATTTCATTAGTCTCTGTGACCTGTCTCAGTTTTCAGATTATTTTACCTCCCACTTGAATCCCATCATTTTTGGGGGCTGCAGGATGGCTGGGTTTGTTTGGGATGAATTCCCATGGACTTCATGGAATCCACAACCCAGCTGAAACCAGGAGTCAGGAGATATCCTCCAGAGTAGATAAATGAGTAACTTCATTCTGCAGTTAATTTTGTGTGTGCCTTTAATAGCCAATAAATTGATTCTTCACCAAATTGCTTGTTCCAACTGCACAGGCCTGATTGATTTAGCTGATCCAGAGTTTTTTATTCCCACTAGTAGCTGGGAGTAACAATTTTAGAGATATCTGTGATTAAGAATGACAACAACCAAAAGAAGTAGATTTTTTTTTTTAAGACTTGCTCGGATCCTGGTGTCTCTGAGGGGGAACTCGCTGTGCTCAGCTGATAAAAGAACAGTTGAGGAAAGAGTCAATTGTGAGTTAAACACTTCACAGGGAAGAGTTGTTAAAATATTTCCTGTTTGGTTTCATTTTTGGTTTGGACAAAGTCTTGCCTCCTGTTTTGGCTTATTTAGGCACTGCCACACTGTTGTCTCTGCAGGGTTTTTGGATACTTGAGGAAACTACTGAGCTGGAGTTGCTCAGTTTATGGATCATGCTGTCAGGGGGGTAATAAAGCTTTTGAATTTGAATTTTAGTTGCAGATGCCAATTACATGCAGATAATACAGTTCAACTTTTTATCTGTACTTACTCCAAACAAAGAGCTGATTTGCTAAACTAAATATTTAAGTAATCATAAGCTTAGTTTTTCAGTTTTTAGCCTTGATTTGTTTATAAACTTGAGCCTGATTACCCTTAAGCAGCATCCCTCTATGTCTGAATATGGAAATAAACTATTAAATAATAATAATAATAATAATAACTAAAAAGTGATGCACAGAGAAGCTTTGAGTGGGTATAAAATCTTTGGGTAATTACACAAACCACCAGTTAGGTGGCACAAATCTTTGCAGGACCTTCCCTCTGCATCCCAAACTCTGCAGAGTCACTGCTCTGGGAGGAGAATTACGGTGTGGGATTTCCAGACTGATTGGTCAATGAGGGGAGAGGAGATTTGGAACTCACCTTCCAATTTCCATTTTATTCCTGTCAGTTTTATGACACAGAAGCAGATTCAGGATGTGTTAATACCCAGAGTGGGCTTAAATTTAGCAGGTTCCAAATGCAGATGAAAGGCACAGATTTCAGTCCTTGGGTTTCCAGAGCAAGTGAAGGCTTTGGAGATGCAGCTGGAAACATCTGTGCACGTATTAAGAGCACACAGGACTTTGTGGATGGATGGATTGGCTGAAAATAATGCAGGGAATTGCAAATAATTGGCTTTTTGCACGGAAAGTGGGAAGTGATCTGCAGCATCTTTAGGCTTCTGGATATTTCCAGGCTGGACATTCGCCTGAGAAATCTCCACTGCCTCAGATAAAATTTTATATGCCTAAATACCACCTTAAACCACTTACTTGTAAAAAACTGTTTGATGTCAGTAAGTCATAAGTGTATCCATGGAATATTTATCCAATTATACTGTTAAAAATAAAGAGCAGAAAGAAACTCAGGTTTACTTTGTAGAAACAAATCCAGTATAGAAACCTAATGTTAATTCTAAATATCCCATACATTTTGCCTTCACTAAATGAGTATTTTTATTCTTTTCAAAGGAATCTAGTTGTAAATTATCTGACAGTGTTATATTACTAACTTGAAAATTATTTAGTGTCATCCTAAAAGTAATGTCCAGTAAAGAAGACTGCCATGATAAAAACGTTGGAAAATATGAATTATCTTTAGGCAGTTATTAATTACAAAAGTTGTTTGCTGAAACTTTGCCTGTGTTAGGAAATTTTGGAGGAAATTTTAACACAGAAGGACTGAGGAGAAATTCTGACTTCCAGATAAATCTGAGGATTGCAGGTATTGCCCGTTTTTAGGGGATAAAAAATACTGACGAGAGGATTATTATGAAAACTGCTGGGGTAGCCCAGCCTGTCTTTATTTCATCACAGAATCGTTCATGTAGAATAACAGACTTAGCAGTGCTGCTAAATGTCAAACCAGTATTTTTTTTTTTTAACTCTGTTTTGAAACCCTGCGGCTCTGAACTTGAGTTTTGTCTCTCTTGAACTTCCTTATTTACTGCTCAATACCCAAGTCATCCTTACTGCTGCATTTCCAAGTGCCTTGGAAGTCTTCCTTTGGAATTATCAGGATCCTGTGGCATTGGATTTGTCTTTTCCCTCTCTCATCCATTGGCAGGCTCTGTGAGAATGATGTATAAAGTCATAGCTTATGGCTGAGATACCCAATAAATGC